GGCTAATTCGTAATATCCTTGTGCAGTCAATAAGCCTATAGACTGAAAAGTTACAAATTAAACTTAAACATTTTGGACTAATCAACTGATCAAGTTGCAGATCTGAAAAATAAATTTCCCAGTTTGTGAAGTTAAAACTTAAATAATAAACCAATAGTTAATAAACACGAGTAAAGTTTGAATCAACTGGTCAATTAGCAGATCTGAACGCAAACCAGTCAGGGGACTTGCAGACTCGAGGGCTTAAGGACTAAAAAGGAGGGTCAGTATTTGAAAACATGGGCACTACAGAAACGCCGCACAAACCACATGAGTTTTAAAGCTCGAAAATATATCCTTCGTTTATCAGTCTCTGTGACCATTAAGAAACAGCTCCTAAAACACTTTTATAGGAATAATCCTAGAAAAAAAAAATCCATCAAGAAAATTGACTCACCGACGCATACTCTTCCAGGTTCCTGTGGATGCGGTGAATTATCATAATACCCAGCTTTGCAGTGACATGTGTAACCGTCATCCAAATCCTCGCAATCCGCATGCTCCTTGTCACAGGTATTGTCTTTTGGATCCAAGCACTCGTTTAGCCGACAAATCCGCCCTGGCTGTCCAGGCAGTGACTCGTCTCGATAAGGCTCCTTGCAGCGGCACTCATAACCACCTTCCAGATCGATGCATTCTGCATAGCGATCGCAGTCGTTCAAGTTCGATGATTCGCACTCGTTGATTACTAAAATTTGTCCAGATTTTTTAATTCTAAAAAAATACTGGAGACCTCTACTGAGTGGGCAAAGTCGTATTTCGGAGGATCAACTTGGTCAAGCTTTTTTTAAGGTGAGCTGCTCAGGTCATCAACAGAAAACAATTCAGAATTGTTGAGATCACACAAGGATATACGCAAAATTCAGATACTTATATTTTCTGTAATCCATGAATATACTGCTAAGACGCATATATTTTACATATATTTCCGGCAATTTTCAATCTGGCGTGCATGCAAAAACAAGTTACAAATCTTTTGAATTCGAGTGTTGGCCACGAACTTTCAGAATTCTGGACTGTTTTCTATTTCCGCTCTGAAGCTGAAACAAAATACTGAATTCACGTCCGTTTCAAATTAGTATAAAGTAAGGAGATGTTCTAACACATCGCTCTCATGAACATAATGAGGTAAATAAGGTATGAAGCTTTTTTTAAATGGATGTAACAATAAGTTGTAAATCTAGGTCTGGGAGTCATCGGTCAAGAAGAAAAGGGTTTGCAAGCCTAATGGATATCCAGGTATTTGAAATTCGGCATTTACCGCTATAGATAAAGAATCAAATTTCTGATTTTTTCAGTTCAAATTTTTGTTCACTTCCAACGATTGAATTTCGAAATTACTACAAAAGTTGAAACTATTATCCTGGTTCGTAGACGAATTTTGCCATAAAAAAAAAAGGAGGAACTAACTTCACTCAGTCGTCTAAAGAACCGCTATGCCCAGTGAGTGACAGAAGAGGTAATTGTTGCAGCAAGAGGGAAAATTAGGGCGAAGTGAAAACGCATGTATTTGGTATCACTGTTCCCAACTCAGTACTTCTATTTCTATTCATTCCCAATTCAAATTTAATTATTTCTAAAATATGAATTCAAACATACTATAATTGCAGGTGGTGCCAGGATGGCGTGGATTACCATCATGGTAGCCTTCTCGACAACGACATTCGTAGCCCTCCGCTTTATCAATACAGTCTGCAAACCGCGAACAATTATTCAGTGACGGATTGCGACATTCATTCACTTGCTGGAAGCATTTACGGCCGGGCCTATTACGATTCGGCGATTGGTCTTCGGTATTGACCGGACAACGACACGTGTAACCATCTGGTAAATCTTGACAGACAGCCAGTGGATCGCAATCGTTCAACGAACGATCAAGGCATTCATTCACCTGCAAAAAATAATATTTTACGATAAGGATTTAAATACTCAAGGATTTAAATACTCCACAAATTATTTCTAGCAGCTATTTTAGAACAAAAATGTGAACCGTTGCGCTGCAAATATTTCGAAAAGTGGTCTTTGCCCTCCTGATCATTCACTCTGTATATCACAGAAATCGTCAACAAAAAAGTTTTTTTCGTGATAATTTGTGAATATTGAGAAGGCCGTTAAAAAGCAGCTGCATAAATATCCTTTTTTTTAAAAAAATTTTCACAAATTTTTAAATTTTAATCCTCCTATATTTTATTACTTGGTTAAAAATCAGATTAAAAAAAATGCTTGATTCAACCGCACTGTTTTTAAAATTTGTCAAAAAAATTATTTTTTAGAGAATTAGCATTTATTCAAAGTTTCAGAATTCGTATTCTTACTAGTATTTCTGGCCGCAGTTTTCTTCTGAAGTAGTATTTTTTCGGATTCGTATTTTTTGTTTTTTTAGATTAATTTTTTTGATTAAAATTAAGAAATAAAATTACAAAGCTGACCTGCTCAACGCATATTCGCCCGGGTCGATTCACTAAATCCGGCGATTGATCGATGTAACCATCACGACAGCGACATGTGTATTTGTCGCCTGTTTTTGTTTCACTGCAAATTGCTGCTGGATGACAATCGTTCTGGCTCGCATCCAGGCAAATCGGTTCCGTTAGGATGCATATCCTGCCCGGCTTATTTTTGCTATCTGGCGAACGATCCACATAGCCTTGCAAACACTCGCACGTATACGTTTTCGCTCCAGTTGCACGACAAGTGCCAGCCGGATGGCAATCATTCAGAAGTGGATCTTGGCATGGATGGCCTGAAATGGGCACTTAAAAAATACTGCAGCATTTGTTTAATGTTTTTTAAACACACAACTTATGCCTATAAGTCCAAGATCTTTTTAGAATGAACAGTCAAGAATGCAAAATGTTTATATTTCTTCAATTTTCGAATGAAACAAGGCTAATACACCCTAAAGCGAAAAAACTTAACCCTTCCTTCGTTCAGTTAAATGATATTTTGTTAACAGCAATATGTAATAACTTTCATCAAATCTTCATAAATTTTTACAGGATCTTGAAAATTTCTACGTGTATCGTAAATTTTGTTATTACAAAGGAGGGTTTTATTGTTTTATAAATATTAATTGATAAGCTTTATATGGCAGTATTCAGCTCAATATCAAAGGGCCCGGTTAGCTGAGCTTGGCGTTTGAGAGTATCTCAAAAAAAAAATCACTAATATGGGATACTAACTCCAACTTCACAGATGATCCCTTTATTTATGATATCCAGGAAAAGCTGGAAGATGTAAAAAAGCCCTAAGTTTTCAGATTAATCCTCTAAGAAATGAGTTTTTTTAAAACATGAATTTCAAATTCAGCAAGATTTCTCAAAGCGTCGTCTTTTTGATTAAAATAGCACGTACGTGGTGGAGGAGTAGCAGGTGCTGGTGGTTCACAGACATGTCCACGTTGCGTTCCATCGGGCGAACGATCAACGTATCCATGAGCACATTCACAACGATATCCTTTTGGTTCATCATAACAGATTGCATTACGTGAGCAATTGTTTAAGCGTGGATCGCGACATGCACTATCTGAAATTACGTGAAATTCGAAATTTTGAAATATCGGGAAATTACAAATGAAAACCCAAAAACGATAATAGCCTCGATGTGCAGTTTTGACACTACAGTTAACTGAATTCATTGCGTAGTTCTTTAGCTATACGACTGATAATTTACTCAGTTACTTTGATAGGTGTTGCGTTCCATTGCGCTTAGTTTGCTGGCAATCTTGAAATTCATCCTGCTACTTCAAAAAAAAAAAGATGCTGAAATCTTACTTCGTACGCAGATTCGGCCTTTTTTATCATGCGGTGACTGGTCCAGGTATCCCTGTATACAGGTACACTCGTATTTGTTGCCACCGAGCGGTTCACAAACAGCAGCTGAGCTGCATTCGTGATTTGATGGACAGACTTCTGAAATTTATTCAGCCTATATGTAGTCTGAGTCAAAATTTTTTAATTTAAATTAAATTAACTACAGAGGAATTAGAAACACCTGAGAGGGGAGGGAATGTTTCAAATTGTTTTTTCTTAAGATAATGATATCAAGAAAAAAAAATACTGCAGAAGAAGAATGACAAATTCAGTAAAGTTATGCGTGTCAATTCCTATAATCCAGAATTTTCACATAGTGCCGTAATGAGACTGTAGTAAAATCTAAAAGTACCAAAAATATTAAGAACGCCCGAACAATCGATATGGGTTCCCCATATTTGTAGTGTTACTAAGATGATCCCACTTACGCCAGATGCAGCCATATTAAAAACTGTGTTATTTTGCAAAAGTTCTGCAAAAAACCTACAGAATTCTGGAAGACTTGATTTTTTGTCAGAATAATTTAAAATGAACTACCTGGTGTACCACATACGCGTCCGGGTTGGGTAAGCAAATTCGGGGACCGATCAATGAAGCCATCCTTACATTCACAAGTATAACCTTCTTCCAAATCTCGGCATTCTGCTTGTGCACTACATGTATGTCTTCCAGTTGCACATTCGTCTATCAGCTGCAAAACAAAACATTAAAGTAAGTTCCATAAAGGTCAACAGCTTAAAGGAAGCAGTAAAAATCGTTCGCTGTAAGATTTTGGCAATTTTAAATAAATAGCGCCT